GGGAAATAAAATATGCTAATGGATAAGCAAAAACAAGTAAGAAAGAGCTTAAGCAGTGCGGTGTCACATCATAAGTGAAGAAATAACCACCACTCTTGGGAGCTAAGACGAATAGTTAGGTCATCACTTAGGTGACGGCAAGATATACTTTTAATATAAACTGTTAATAATATCGCAATGAGAAGATCATCAATTATTCCCAGCGTTTTTAATAAAATTTTCTTTAGTCCTTCGTTAATTCAACAATTATGCATTAATGGTCTAATACATTCCGGGCTTTTGATCAATGAGTTTTCTAGCATTTGCCTTAAGATAGTAACCACAACGGTCTAGCAATGATTAGATAAAAAAATGGCATCGGCTCCACTAAAGTACAAAGTAACCATCGCTGAAATATTTTATCCCAATGAAATTAAAATGAGCTCGGGCTTTATGGAGATCGAAAGGAATATCCAAATTATGTACAATTACTTTTCCGAGGCGAGGATCATCTTAGAAAGTTGAGGATCACAAGGAAATTCAGCCATTTTACGACCGATTTTAGTGAGCTCTCCACGGTGGTTTAGGGCTCCCAAGGCATAGAGCTGCTCCAATGCCATAATAAGTGCTTCATGAGGCGGAGGGTCCATGTAATCAAAGTGAAGAAGATCGTCAATTCCCAGAGACTTAAGAAGCAGAACTACGTTGCCCAAATTGATGCGCTGGATCTCAGGCACTGGCTGTGCTTCCAGCTCAGTCTGGTAGGCAAAAGCCGTATAAAGTCGAAAACACTTTCCAGCTGCTACGCGACCAGCTCTGGAGATAAAAGAAAACAGAAGTAGGCAATGAGATAAGGATGAAAATCTTATTGGAGAAAACAAGTTTAGAGTAAATCGAGGCATGTTAAATAACAAATGCATTTTGGGGCATAGTTACAGTCAAAATAAAGCAAAAATATTCCCATGCAAAAGGCGATAAAAAATAGACCAACATAAAGGTCAAATTTCTACAATAAAAAACCGTCAAAATCTTTGATTAAGATTAAGTAGGTCTTAAAACTACAGTTCTATCTTGAATAAAGAGCTGCATTGGCCTTAGTTTACATACGGATTTATAGTTGAATTTTCAGCCAATGATATTAATATAGCTAATAGTACTAATGAAGTTTGCTTATCTTTGCTTCCCGAAAAGTATTTTCATCTAGAGTGAACTGCGACAAACACACACCGAAATTCTACGCCTCATTACCAGGGTCAGAGTCCAGTCAGAGGTGTTGATAAGGCCCAAGCGAGGTTGAAACTGCAGTCTAGTCCAGCCGGGATGAGAATGCCTTTAAGGAGGCACGGCTAAGTGATATTCAATGGCATTGTGAGGCCTACTCACATCATTGTCTAGTAATCCTTAATCACATCATGCGACCCAAGGTAAATAAAGCTCTTTATTACAAATTCGTCTTATTAGAAGCTCAAGTCACCAGGTATGAAAACTTGACAATTTTGTCAGATTTATTTTATCGTACATAATTATGCATTGAAACCGCGAGGATAAATGACAGTTTGTTGCCAAGATATTAGCAAATAGTGTTGCTAAATATTAATATTCTAGTATTAAAGTTAAGCTCATAATTTTAAAATATCGCATGAGTAAAATGGGTGAATATGAAAAATAAAAAAGACACAAAGTTATCCAAAAAAGTAAATTTTTGTAGAAGTGAATCAAAGTACAAACTAGGGCCCAGTTTCAGATCATTTGGTAATGCTCGAATAAGCTGCATTATTTAAAAAAATTCCCTCCGAGCACAGGAGCATGGTCAACAGTTTTGCAAATATACAGTCTAGTATGAAGAAAAAAAGAAGTACACAAAAGCTGTGAAGACACTAGGGAAGATCTTTA